TAGGTCTCCTGGGAATTCAATGCATTTAGGATGTGAAGAACCTGATCCTGTTAAAATTGGGGCAAGAGGCATTCTAAGCAGAAAGAGCAGTGTACTGAATAACTTACAGATAAGGAAGGGAGAGATGAAATCAAAAATAATGTCTAGTTTGATTTGACCAGGGCACAGGGTAGATTACCGAGAGTACTAAGGGTGGATTACCAGGAGTACTGTGAAGTAAAGTGGAAAAAGTAGAAGGGGGCAGGTAGTTAGGGGGCTTAGTTGCCAGGGTATCTGGATCCTGAGGATAATGGGAGATTTGGGAGAGGGTTTTGAGTCCGGGAGGGTAGAAAAAAGCTACACTTGGGGAAGAGTCTGGCAGGAATGAGGACCAGGAGAGATGGACCAGAATTGAGAACCGATAGAGATGGGCTAGAATACAATGAGAGCCTGCACCCTGGCAGAGACAGGGAGGAGAAGAGAGACACAGAGGTAGAAAAACCCAGTACCCCCCCACACACACACACCCACCAACAGAGCCACCCACATCCCTCACTTAACAGCACCCTAACAATGCATTAAAATCACTGCCTAATTGCTCCTTTCAAGGTTAAATGCTCCAAAATGGGAAAATGTGTGTTTAATGTTTAGTCTCATCGCTGCCACCCAAGCCCCAATTTGAAAGCCCAATCTTGTTAAAAAATAGAATGAGAAAAAAAAAAAAAGACAGACGCACCCCAGACCCTCAGCAAACCATGTTTTTCTCTCTCAAACATATCTTTCTGTAGATTCCTGTACCTCCGGCAGTTCTGGTAGGTGAGCCGAGGCCTCTTGAGAGAAAATTCCTCAATAGCTCTCAAGAGCCTCCCTCCTCCTCACCAACCCTACTCATGGGACTTCTGGGTCAAATCCCAGAGGTCCTCTAATCAGGATGATGGGAAAGAAGTCTAGTGTCTTTAACTGCATTTTTGACCCTTCAAATCAGCTTGAAATAGAGGTCAAAGGTCCCAATCCTTTCCCTCTTGTTGTGAGCTCTGAATAGAGCAGGGCTGCCCTCAGGGACACTGGAGAGAGAGAGAGAGACTTCCTCTCCCTTCCTCTGGAATCCATGCAAAGGTGGATGTGATATACTCAGAGGCAGATGGCCCACCAAACAAGGTAAGCATGGGCTTATTTGTACTTATTTACTAATTTGTAGTGGCCAGTTCCACATGTTATACATGTGGTGAAAAACATGTGAAACTGCTTCCTGCATGTTAGTAAGTACAAGTAAGCCCATGCTTACCTTGCATACTGGTAGTACACTCCTGTCAGAGATTATAAATTTGAAAAGAGGATTTCACTCTGAAGGAAGGTGCAGATGAGGTTGGGAAAGAGACAGACGGCAATCAGACCTAGAAGCAGAAACTTTGATGTGGTTTTTTTTAAAAAGTGAAATTGTTCACTAGAGATTAATTAGTAAATAAGCACAAGTAAACCCATGCTTACCTTGTTTATTGGGTAACCTGACACAGGATACACTCCCTACACTGGTTCCCCCTCCTCCAAGAGTGCGTACTCACCAGCACCACACACCTGAAGTTGTGGTCCAGAATTTTACTGATGCAGAAGGGGACCCACCATGGAGATGACTTAAAGATCACTCGGTCTTGGGAAACTCTTTCCGGGCACCAACCTGCCTTCTCTCCAATAAAGTCATTTCTATATTCCTTCTTCCATCTCTCCTATTTTCTACGTCCAGTCCAAACCTGATTTCCCTAACTTCCTTGGTCACCAAAACTATCAGTGCCTTCATAGAATCTGGTCATCCCTGCCCTAAAGTTGCAGGAACCTTCTCTCCACACTAACTTCTGTTTGCATCTCCCACTTCTGCAAAACAAGCTCAGACAACTGTCCTGGTTTTCTCTAATCACCCTCTGTCTCCTACCTAGATCTTGTAGATAGCTAGAGCCTTCTAGTTATGAAATGTCTGAGTCTTTATATGTGCAACACAGATGGTAATAGTATATACATCAAAGTTTTATGAAAATTAAATGTAACCCCTATAAATCACTTAACATGCAGTAAGAGTTCAGTGAATACTGATTATAATTTTGATCATAATTATCTTAAACCCTGGTCTCAAACCTAAACCTAAGCTTATTTATCTAATGCCTGTTGGGAATATGCACTTGGATACAACTTGATGGCTCCACAGCATCAGTATGGAAGAGTATGTTGTTGTTAGGTGCCATGGAGTTGGTACTGACTCATAGCGACCTTATGAACAGCAGAATGAAACACCGCCCGATCCTGGGCCAGCCTCACTACTGTTGCCATGCTTGAGTCCATCAATGCTGCCACTTGGCCAATCCATCTCGTTGGGGCTCTTCCTCTTTTTCTCTGACACTCCACCTTACCAAATATGATAGCCTTCTTCAGCGATTGGTCCCTCCCAACAACATGTCCAAAGTATAAGAGATGAAGTTTGGCCACCCTGGCCTCCAAGGAGCACTCTAGCTGTACGTCTTCCAAAACGGATCTATTAGTTCTTTTGGCAGCCCATGGCACTTTCAATATTCTCCTCCAACACCATAATTCAAAAGCATCAATTCTTCTATGGGCTTCCTTACTCACTGTTCAGCTTTCACATGCATATGAGGTTATTGAAAATATCATGGCTTGGGTCAGGCACATCTTAGTCCTCAAGCTGACATCTCTGCTCTTCAACACTTTAAAAAGGTCTTGTACAGCAGATTTGCCTAATGTAATATGT